AATTTATTCACCCTCATGTCGTTTCAAACTGTTTTGTCCATACAATGAAAGTCAATGGGGTCCAAAAACAACACTGGAAAAAAAGAATTAAAACACTGAGATTTAAAAAAATATATATATCTTTAATTGTGTTGCAGACAAGAAATAAAGTCATAAAAGTTTAAAACAATATGAGGCTGAGTATATAATGAGAGAAATTTCATTTTTGGGTGATTTTCTTCCCCCTTTAAGTTACGCTTAATTACTTTTACACTCATTTTAATTACTAATACATTTATCCTTGGTATGTACATTCAGTTCTTGATGACTGAGTATGAATGTGTCACAGAATTCTGTTTGGAAAGTAAAAAAATTTTTTTTTTAAATACTTCTTCAACCTTGTCTGGCATTTGGGAGCACAGTGCTGTATGGAACGACTTCTCTTGTGGACTTTTGACCCCAGACACATGCAGGCATTCACAGAGACAAGTTTTGTGTCCCCAGACAAGAGTTGCTCCAAAGCAGGCCGAAGCTATTACACTTGGAGACAAAGAAGCCTCCAGGGGAGATGAGAGACATGGAGCAGTGAGTGGGAGAGACTGAGCAGCTACTGGAAGTTACAAGGGCACTTAACTGTATAGACTTTTGTTGGAAAATGTTTGATATTGATGTAAATATATATTTATGGTGTGCTGCAGTTCTATATGATGTGACTTTGACATGATGTTTACTAATAAGCACATCGAAAAGGCTACAAAAATTTCACGTCTGGGATTTTTTAGAAGTATTGCATAAATAGGCTTGTCGGATTTCAGGTTTCACATTTAACAGTCGTATTTTTCCTTTTCTTTTCCCATGATTATCTATAACCCTGGTCCACACCCTTCGGTAGACCATGTGCTGTTTTTCCTTAGTAAATTGATTAATCCTTAATTCTCCTTGATAAATTAGCAAAGGTACTGTTCCTTTTTTTAGGTTGTTCATGGGAGAGTATTTACAGTGGGTTTCCCCTCCTGCTCTGGTGATGGGGGAAAATTACTATTCTGAAATTCAAAGTGCCTAAATGAGAAGCCAGCACTGAAAGACAAACGGAGGGAAAGGCAATTGAGGCCATCAGCCACAGTAAATGCCATTATTTGGTTATTTATTATGTGCATACAGCAATTATAGCAGTTTGGCATCAGATAACTTTTTTAGTTCGAGTCTTGGTTAATCTGCTGTGTGCGGTTACACTAGCCCTGCGGCTGTTCAGACCACCTTTGAGTCACCAGAGGTTTTGTCCTCACCTGTACCTTGTCTTGTCTGAGATTCTGCAATTGGTCTTTATCATGGTCCAGTGGAAGTGAAAGGACTCGTCCTTTTGTCATTCTTGTATGCTAGACAAGCACAGGAAGATCGAGTGGACAACTCTGATGGTGGTCGTTGCAGTGGACACAAATATTTGTCCACACAAATTTGTCTGGGTGGTTGAGTCGGTGAGCGATGGGTAATTACCTGCACTCAAGACACCGCAGAACAATGAAAGGGAAAGGAGCAGATCTTCTGTTTAAATAGATTTTTTTTTCATTGTAAGGATTTTCTAATGAAATTAAATTCATCAGTTATGTAATAAATGGCAGATGGCATAAACTTATAAATCCTATTTTAATGTAATGTTTATAAGGTTTCTGGAGTATTAAACACAGATTTGTATGTGAATTCAACAATGTAATCAGTTAGTAAAAGCAGGAGATCCAGATTTTTTATGGATACAATTGATTGTGGGTGTGTGGTGACTGACTCAGCATTAGTCACTATTAAGCAGCAAAATGGAGAGTTATAATGATGAAGGAACCTGTGTACCCTGAAAGGCAATTCTTCTCAACATGTCTTAAGGAGTGTTGCTACAACATGCCTGTTTGCCATTACAAAAGTGATAAATAGATATGTATGCATGAATTCAGGCTGGAATCTGTTGGGTCAGTGTTTGATTGTCCATCCGTGTGTGAGAAAGTTAACTGCAGCTATGACTGGGTTTGTATCACAATCTCATTTACATGTATTAGTGTAATTAGTTAATCTAGTTAACTGAAGATGACCATCAATGCTAAAAAAAAAAAAAAAAAAAATTATTATACATGCACATACTGTATATATGGATGTACACAGTGATTTGCTGCATATATACTTGCCAAAGCTCACGTATCATTTACAAGCCATAAGTGTGTAAGGGTGGAGACTCTGGGATTGTGTTCCTTCATAAAATCAACATTTTCCTTATCTGATCTCCCTAAAAATCCAACAAAAAAGGCTTGCATGTCTTAGACAGACTAAATACTCACTAATCTGCTGCTTTATCTGTTAGAAAGCAAGGTTTGCTTTACACAAACATAATGAAATGTTTTATTTAGAAAATAACATGCTAGTGAAGTGTTGCTCAGACAGATTCAGTCCATTATGGCTAATGAGTATAAGTTTTTGTTAAATATATCATCAAAAGCCAATTTGTGTGTGTGTGTGTATGTGTGAATATAAACGTGCCTGCTTGTTTTATCAAAGCCAGTATCTTTTTCTGTATATTATCAGGGAAATGCTGTAAAACCCAAGAAGGAAATTTTAAGAAAGTATGCAAACACAACTCATATATCTGGGCATATTTACAATATTGTAAAGTCACTCAAACAAAAATGCTTTTGTCAGTGTTATGGTAAAAAACGCTGATGAACAAGAAAAAATTTTCTTTAAACAACAACAACATGAAATCCACACAGTAGATGTTTCTTATAATATATATTAAGGGATTTATTTCTGTCCCTGCGTATTCCAGGACCGACATACATTTTTTATTCTCTTAATAAAATATTTGGTATGTGGGGCTATCTGTTTTTAAAGAGACGCGCATTTGTATTCATATAATGTTAAGCTTCACTCGTGAATCAGTTAAAGTGGACAATGAAAAAAATTCTCCGTCCACATTAGGCATCTTACTGAATGTCTCCGGGAATACGGTGTCCTGTCTGATTATCTGCAATCTCCTTAATTGTGTTTAGAAAACCACAAAGAGGGGGGGGGAAATGAAACCAAACTCTCGTTCCTTTCAAGGACAGGACGCGTAAGGCTCTTATCGCAAAATGCATCCAAAAATGTAGGCTGTTTGGAAAATGTATCATAGCGGTCAAACAAACAAAATAAATAATAATAATAATAACAACAACAACAATAATAATAATAAACAACTATAATAATAAAAACAACTATAATAATTTTACACCATGCAGCTTTGATGTTTTAAAACTTAGACCTAGCACATGATAAAACATTAAACATAATATATATATATATATATATATATATATATATATATATATATATATATATATATATATATATATATATATATATATATATACATATACATATATATATATATATATATATATATAGGCCTATATATATATATATATATATAGCCTATATGTGTGTGTGTGTGTGTGTGTGTGTGTGTGTGTGAGAGAGAGAGCGAAGTGAGAACAGTTTCGTGTCTTGAATATTTCGCACGCATGTTGCCTTTAGTTGTACAGTTGTACATCATACAATTAAATTAAACTTATCCAGCTTGTGCTGGGGGAAAGGACACCCTTATTATTTCAGGAAATTCTATCCATTTCCATTTCCACCTCTCTCTCTCTCTCCAGACAATGCAATTGTACCGGATTCTGAATTACGTAAAGGGTAAAAATAACTGGACTATATAAACCGACAGAATCAGATTGTGCAAATGCTGCTGGTTTGCACAGAGCACAAGAAAAGGCACGCGAAAAACGTGTCGTTGTTTCTCTGCAAATAAAATATTTTAAAACAGCCATAAAATATTTGAAGCAAATTTGAAATAAAATGTCTTAGGCTTTTTGTATTTTACCTACATTGTGTCGGGGATAGTTAATGCCACGTCTTGAAGGCATCAGGTGGAAAAGAGTATTTTGGTTAAAGCTGTCTCTAAAATAAGCCCAAGAGCATTAGGCCATTCATTTACATTTTAATCAACTGAAAGAGTATTGACTCAGAGATCATTAACTAACATGTACCTGCATTGTTGAACATTGAGATTATCATGTTGTTTCGATGGCTCCGAGATTTTACAGCTGTTTTTTCAAATGCTAATTAAGCAGAAGTTCGATCTGGATAAATTAATACCTATCAGACACATGAGATCAGGTCAATTTTAATATGAATGAAGAGGTGAAACTCACAGTAATGGTGCTGGTTGACTGAAACATTTGGATCCACATTATATAAAATGTTTGTTTTAATAGTAACTAATCTAGCCTATGATTTCTGTTGTCCTCTTGAAACATTTTCTTTTGTTGTTTGCATTATTATATCAAGCATTGTTTAGGCTACCACACACATTTAATATAGATAAATAATAAAACAATAAATAATTTATATGGAAAATTTCCAACACATTTTAATAGATTTATATATTTTAAAAAATAATTCACCAAAATAATAGTGTTTGAATGGCCCTCCAATAAACTACAAGAGGTTTGGCCGAGCAGGGGGTTTGTGGCGCCCCCTTCAGCACTCAAATTACACTCAGAATTCATTGGGGGGTCCAATGAATGACAAATTCGACAAGCCGCTTACATTCATTAGGAACATTATTTGGAGGTAAAAGTTTTACTTTGTTCTTGAATCTACACAATTGTATGAATATGATGAACCGAATTCTTATTAAATGTGGTGTGATGTGAGATTTTTTACAATGAAACAACAGCAGGTTCAGCGTGCGCATTTTGTGTCTAATTTTGTTATCCTCCAGAACGTCTAAGTAGTCTTCACAATTTAATAGAACAAGGACGTTTTAGGCTATTAATTATACGTTTAATTATAGGCCAAATAATCAACTGTGCTTTGACAACATTTACATGTTGTTAAGGATAGCCAGAGTAAATACTTGATAGGTTACATACAACTACATGACCAACGTCACGAGGGCACGCCCACACGACACTCCTTATAATGGGACAGGTAGGATGCCAAACGTATTAGAGACGCATTGTCTGTCTCGGACTGAATGAGACTGAACAACTCCCTAACATTTGCAACATGGCTCTTGCAGATGCGATGTTGCCTTCGATAAATACTTTTACAAGCAACCAGATTTTAGACCAAAAGCAGTCTGAAATTGTTCGGGTGAGTTCAACTCTTCATTTAAAGTTAGGCTATTTAAGGTAGACTATAGGCTGTTTAAAAGGTATTTTGAGTGTTTAACATGTAGGCTAAGTATTTATGCATTTCGTAGAGTATTTTACGTTTAACTAATCGCAGGAGTTATCCTACAAATTTATGGTAAATGGAGGTTAACATAAAAAAAATCCTCCGAGGAGAAAACCATTGCAACATTATGATGCTTTCCGTATACTGTAGCCTAAGCCAATTATGATCGTATAGCTTCATTGGCAAAACATAAAAACTGCCATTATCCTATTTAGCCTACATTGCAATAGCTAAGTGTCATATTAGCCTATATAATTTAGCCTACACTGTAATGCTGCATCTTTATAAATATTCTTGCTTAGAGGATTTTTTAATTGTATGTTAATCACCGATCATATGAGAAAGGTGTCTAACCCGAATGTTTTTCTTCCCTCAGGACTGGAAAGTTGACCCAACTAAGACAGTTGGAGACGTGAGACCCCTCATCGAGGTGGAGTTCAGCATTGTCGAATCTCCATCTCTGGCCAAAGACGAGGACGATCTTTCCAAGTTTTTGGACCTAGAGTTCATTCTGTCCAACTCGGTCACGTCTGACATTGACAACAACTCAGCGCAACCGCCGCCCGCCTATTCTCTACCGGAGTCACCCGAAAGCTGCAGTACTGTGTACGACAGCGATGGATGTCACCCGACGCCGAACGCTTTTTGTGGCAACAACTTTACCGCACGTCCCGGCCACAGTCTGGTAGCCGAGTTGTTTACCTCGGATATGAATTATCATGGCGACTCCCGTGATTTTAAAGACAGACTGGAGTACACTGAACTAAGGGCTATAAACTGTCGAAACCATGTGTCCACTTCTAATAACGTGGGATACAAAATAAAATCTGAAAACCACGAGCAATCCTGCATGATGTCCAACGACTACGTGGGTCATTATTATGGACAAGAACCCCAGCGCGTGATGACTTATGAGCATCACGTGCAACACGATGTGCCTCGGGACATTTTAGGGAGGAAAGACTGCATCCTAACAGAAATGAACTCTCACCATCACATTGAAATTGCACATCAACAGCAGTTCATGAATAGCGCGCATTTTCCTCCGCAATACGCCCAGCATCAGCAGTATCACGGACATTACAGTATGTTTAGCGAACCATTGCGGGCAAATCACCCGGCCATGCCAGGTGTGATGCTGACTCCACCATCCTCACCGCTCCTGGGATTTTTAAACCCAGAAGACAGCAAGCCAAAACGAGGGCGTCGGTCATGGGCACGAAAACGGACTGCGACGCACAGCTGTGATTTCCCCGGATGTGGGAAAACGTACACGAAAAGCTCCCATTTGAAAGCGCACATGCGGACACACACAGGTATGTAGTGGAATTGTATTTCACGTGTTGTTTTTACTTCATTTCTTACTTTAAACCTCTTCGTTTTGGTACACAATAATAAATGTTTCCCCCCGTTCTGTTCACAGGTGAGAAACCCTACCACTGCAGTTGGGAAGGCTGTGGCTGGAAGTTCGCCAGGTCAGACGAGTTGACGCGTCACTACAGGAAACACACCGGACACAGGCCGTTTCAGTGCCACCTGTGCGAGAGAGCTTTCTCCCGCTCGGATCACCTGGCCCTGCACATGAAGAGGCACATGTGAAAAAAAAAAGAGAGACTATATCTAGTTTAAACGACAAGAGAATTTTATATTGTTAAGACAATTCCTATTTTGGGACAGCAGTTATTATGTGAATAGCAGTATAATGTCATTTCCTTTAAATTATGTCAGTATTTAATAGAAGGAGATTCTTGTTCATTTAGAAGGTAAATTAGTACTTTCCCAGATGTATAAAAACGGGGCAGGACCCAAACTTTTGTATAGGCTATATGTTTTTTTTTTATTATCTCCATTTAAACATTTGTATCAAGTCAGGGAGTATTTTTTTCATGGATTTTCAGAATTAAAAGCATTGTTTTTTTTTGTACTCAGCCTTTTGTCTCATTTTCTTAAGTTACTTATTTCTACACAAAGAGCATTATAGGACAAATACGTTTTCCTCAATAGAAATACTGGGTGCAAACAAACAAAATAAATAAATGGAAAACTCTGGCAAAATAAACAATTAATGTAAATTGGTTATATATATATTTATCAAACAAATACAATTAAAAGAAACGTGTGATTTGTAGGGTTAGGGCCCTTCATAGGGCCAATAACCTAAATATTTGCCTTTTTAAAAATGTCTATGCCTACAGTTAGGCCTACTTATCGTCGCTCTAAATACTCTAAAATCAAGTAGCCTAATTAACTTATGCAACATCACCATCATTGTCAACAATTATAATCCTCTTAATCATCACAAATATTGTAAATAATAAATTTAGTCGTCTAGAGTCTAGAACAAAAATACAGGATTCTCTAATATAGGCTGCAACATGTCACTGCTACTAGTATAGTATGGCAAGCCGTTTTAACTTTTATTCATTTCCAGGATATGAATACTTGATATCAACAATTACATTTTTGATATCAACAATTACATTTTTTTGATATCAACAATTACATTTTTGGTTGATATCAACAATTCAATTCTTGATATCAACAATTGAATTATTGATATCAACAATTGTATTTTCACTAGTGAAATGTCACCATAGACTGCCATTCAAAATCAATTGTTGATATCAAGAATTGATTTTCTACTAGTAGAAATATAATTTTTGATATCAATAATTACATTGTTACTAGTAAAAATGCGAATTCCTGTTATCAATAATTAAATTATCACTAGTCTAAATGTCTATTCTTGATATCAACAACTGAATTGCTACTAGTAAAAATGTTCATTTTTGATATCTGAAAATGTATTTCTGATATCAATATTATTTCAGATATATAAAATGGCTTTCTTACTAGTAACAATCACATTCATGATATCAGAAATTAACATTGTCACTAGTGAAAATTGAATTATTGATATCAAAAATGAACATTGTTACTAGTAGCAATTCAATTGTTGATATCAAGAATAGACATTTCAACTAGTGACAATTTAATTCTTTATATCAAAAATAAAGGTTTTTACTAGTAAGAATTGTATTTCTGATATGTGAAATTGGAATTTCAACTAGTAAGAAATCAATTCTTGATATCAAGAATTGATTTTGAATGGCAGCCTATGGTGACATTTCACTAGTGAAAATACAATTACAGATATCAAGAATTATAGTTTTTACTAGTTGCAATTCAATTGTTGATATCAAGAATTATAATTTTAACTAGTGAAAATGTAAATGTTGATGTCAAGAATTAGCATTGTTACTAGTGAAAATGTAATTCCTGATATCAAAAATTGCCATTGTTACTAGTAGAAATATTATTCCTGATATCAATAACTATAATTTTAACTAGTGAAAATGTAATTGTTGATATCTTCATATCCTGGAAATGAATAAAAGTTAAACCGGCTTGCCATATTTCTAGTCTTTCAAAGCTACAGTAGGCCTATGTCGTCCTCTGCTGTCTGAAAATATGTAGCAGCCACATAACCTCATTCTCAAACCAACGGTAGCTGATAGGGTTATTTAGACTGACGTGACGTGTATGAAAAATAATTCATAATCGAAACTACACATGTTGCTTGCGTTTTGTTACAACTAAACACTTGCAGTCTCCCTCTCCTGGCAAGAAGTCATAACACGTTTCTACAAGGGAGTTTTTTTCTCTCGAATATATTGAACAAGTAGGCTACACTTTCCATATTTACATATAGGCTAATGTAAAAAATCAGGCAGTTTCAGACATTTAGAGCACAATCCAACGTTCGTTCGTATCGTTAAATATCAAAATCATAATTAATTTTCGTTGTGTAAAGTTTATCTGCAGGTATCCATTTCTACCACGAGATGGCAGTCTTCCCTATGGTTTGTCTCTGATATTACACCTGCTGCTGATGCAATGTCACATGTAGTGGTGGAGCACACTAACAAAGATGTTCTTCGTTGTTTAGAAGTAGGCTAGTGAACAACAAGATAAAACTGTAAATGTAAAAATAACTTTAAATGTAGCCTACATGACAAATGATAAATCATATTCATCTAACCAGAGTAAGAATTCATTTGAAATTTCATTAAGTAACGTTATATTGCTCATTTTCCCAAACGCCCCTTTAATTATTAAAATGTTAGCATTAATACTGAATTATCTAAATAATGATGCAGAGACAAAATATGCTGACTTTCATCCCTTTCAACATTATTAAAGGTTATTGCTGAAGCTTATAGGCTAGTTGTGGTTTAATGAAGCTACCAATAGCTAGGTTACCGATTGTATGGCATAAATGCTTTTGAGGCATGACAGCAACGTTAACTATCACAAAGACGTAAACTAGAGTTTACCAACACACATGACTCTGAATAGGCTACTTTTGTTTTTTTCCATAAGTCCCCAGAACCATTTAGATTAGACTCTGCATTCTGCCTCTTCGGAGAAATAATTGAATATCATTGCGTATTCATGCCATTTTCTCAACAGAGCGGCAAACTTAGAGAGGGACCAATGGTAACTGTTACACCGTACAGCTGAAGTCAAGCACTCGTTTTGCTAGCAGTTGTTAAACCCACCGCTACGCAGCGCAACGGCGCGTGAATGGGGAAGCGTGTATCCTCCATATCGTCTTCCAGCATATTTTAGAGAACAAAAAGGTAACGAATGTGCGTCTGTCGCTAAATGTCCCCATTTCACCCGTTATTCATTCCACGCTCCCTTTTTGTGTTTGCTTCGAAATGTGTTGCTATGCGACAGAGCCGTATGGTTTTGGCAGCCACATTCTTTTCACATTTATTACATTTAAAGGGTTCAGAAACCATAAACAGCTGAGTTAGAAAGTAACAGGTTAATAAAAATATCACATAGTTTTGCAGTTTTATTAGCAATTTCGATGGGAAACTGTTACTCAATGACTAACGTTATAATCGCAGGTCTATTGTCTCCCGGAAACATCCACCAACCGCAGCAAAACGCACGTGCTCAATAACAGGTAGCTACTACCGGTAAATCTTAATCTAAGCCAGAGATCATCTCTGTTAATCATAAACGATCCTAATTATTGAATTTATATATATTTATTCTGTTTATTAGCTATACGTCCCAAATTATTCGGGTTGTTTTTTTACGAATGTTCATATGGTGTGTTAGTATTTTCAGAAAACGACGGTCAGTCGACGCACTGTTTGGTAGTTATTATGCTGAAGTGATTTAAGAGCTCTCAGCTGAAACTTCAACACCATCTTCACGTATGGTGTATGGGAGGGTCTTTTTTATCAAGGGGGCTGGGCCACATCTGAACAGAGCATGCACTTTGAATATTGGAAGTTTATCAAAGAAGTGTCCATCAATTTAACGAGAAGATAGTGTTCAAAACTCTTTAGACGCCGGTAATACTTTCAGAGCATTTGTAACAGATCCACTGACAGTGCTGTCTTCTGACCGAGGAGCAAGCGATGGTAAGACAAATGATAGCCTACTACACGAGGTGTAGCCTACACACTACAGCTGAATAATCCTTCCGTATTTTATTTCATATCACCAGTAAGACGTTCATATCGGTTTAAAGACTTAGACTAGCTACTATAATTGTACAGATATTCAGTTTAATAGAAACGTTAAACTATTACTTGTTCGTTACAGGTCAGATTTATTTCTACTAACAGCATTACAGGGCGGAAAAAGTGTCAGCAATGATGCTGTTTTATATTTGCACCCTAAACTATAGAATAATTACATCCTTTAATGTTAGCTATTTATTGTCTAATAAACTTGCATGTGAATGACCTGTTGAACCAAATTCCTCCATATCAGGCGGAGAAAATTATTCTAGTGGTTTAAAGGGTTTTACCTCTTGCTTTCGTTTTCAGATTCATGTTAAATTTAAATTACTTCAGATTACCAGTTTTGTGACACTTTTTAATCGTTTTGATTGCAATCATTTACAGTGACAAATGTCAGCTGGCACTCTTACTTATCTTGACTCTTACTTCAGACTCAGGCACCTAAATTGCCTCAATGATGAATATGTAATCTGTGTTCTTAAACAACAAACATTAGATATATCTCAAGAAAATACAGAAAGTCATACATTCAGTAGGCTAACGCTCTTGAAAAGTGGATTTTTTTTCATGTGAAAAAAATCCAGCAATCAATGCCTCGTATTGTCACAGAATGTTGTTACACATAACCTTTGGTTTCTCATATTACATTTACATTTATTCAAAGTGACCTACGAATGAGATCAAGTATACACGTCAGGTGGTTTTGGTGTTGTAGAACTTCTCCTGTAGTTTAGGTGTAATATTTTCTCATGCATTTTTATCAAGTAGTAAAATAATACAGTATTACCCTACTTTAACTGGCATATGCTTTCCAGTGCTTTTCAGGATAACAAAAATATTTAGTTTAGTTATTTTAACATGTTCAGTTTTCTTTCTATGCTTAATTTGTAACTTTGTCATATAGTGGATGCTTCTAAAGGTATAGAGATTTCTGGAATGATTTACTATTTCTGGCTAATACTCAGTTGCTGTGGAATCAAAACAATATTCATAGCACTGTTTTGATATTTAAAATAGCATTTTTAACATATATAGGTAAATACATTATTTTACGCATTTATTGTAGACTAAACACTAGCTAGACAATACTTATTTAACAGAAAATAAGTATTGTGTAAATGCATGAATCTGGCACTTACATTGATTTGGCTGAATCTATATTCAAGAACACACTATAATACAATCTGCTTTGCTTCATTCTGCCATTGGAATCTAATTAAAACATTGTTGCCTTTTTTCCAATTTCCTTAAACAAAATAAGGAAAAGGCCATTAGTAAACAAATAAAAGACCAACCTCCAACATTCAGTTGCACACAGGCCTCAGAAGAAATTAGGTTAACCTGTGATGTAACCGATTGTTATAGCATACTTTGCACGTGCCTATCTGTCATGCTTAAATGCATGTTGGGCACGCTGAGATAATTTTTACCACTAAAGAGATGAGAAGATGTAGGATAATCATACCACACAGCAACATCTGGGCCCAATCTGTGCTCAAACATGTCAAGATCATTTATGATTGAGCAGAGCAGTGCATAGAGGTGTGTCAAATCATGCATTAAGTGACCACGCTGTCAAAACACTTCCTCTGTACCGTGCATAGTGTGGTTTAGCTCCCACACACACAAAAAAAGTAATGTGTTGACATTCTATGTCACAAACCGGAAAAGGTGCCAGAGTGTGAATTTCAAAAGGACTTTATTTGCTTTTTGTTTGGTTTACCTTTTGCTTTGGCCATAATTCACCATTTAAAGTTTTTTTTTTTTTTTTTTTTTTTTTACATTTGTTGTATGTGCAATTTAGGCGTTAAAAGTCAGAAAACTCTGCAAACTAGGGTGCTAGTTCTCCCCCCCCCAACAGTGTTCTGTATTGAATACCAGGATGCAGTAGTTATGAGGAAATTTGTGATAATTTCTCAAAGATTTTAGGATTACATTTTTGAAGCCTTTTGAAAAATCCCAGCTTCTACAAATGTTTTATGCACATGTAGTCTCGGAAGGTAGTTCTGTTTTTCACAATTGGTGCTCCCATGCATGGGCACCTTCATCAGACCGAAAATCAAAACGTTAAATTTTCTTGCCAGACAGACTGTCCACCATTTGTCCACAATGTAAAGTAATTGGGATTAAATGGCTTTACGAACAATATTTCCTTGCTGGTTGAGTGGAAGTCAGGAATGTTGTTGTTTTTCTATGGGATGTACTGTCATGCTTGAACTTCCTAATGTTAAGATTCAAGAATTTTTTCATGTAAACCAGTCATTGATTTTCGGAAATACTGTGGACAAGACCTGATGAATTCCTGTCAATTTGATCATGTCTGTTTTCAGTAGTTATCCCTTTTAAACAACCTGGGACGAAGGAGGGAAAACTAGACAAACTGCAGAGACATATGGTTAGAAAGAAAAACAAAAAAGGAAAAATGGTTAGATTGTAAAAAGTTAATGAGAACTTTTCCCAGTATTCTTCTCTGCTGAAAACAGAAAACTTTTAATGTGTTCTGGCTGGTCATTTACATGACAACAGCGTTTTGGTGGCCTGAGAATTCAAACTATAAAGTAGGTTTCTAAGTGCAAGTTTTTAAAAACGGGTTTTAAAAATGATACCGTTATCTCCGTGTTAACTTCAAAAACGTGAATCTGTGAAAACGGTGACGGAATGCACATGCGTATTACGTGTTTAGTCTATAGGCATGTGTGTGAACGGGAATCATTTTGATAACTTTTTCATCTGTACAGAGGAAAACCATATTTCATGATAAAAAAAAACTTTTGTCGTGTCGATGAGGCCTTCGCATAGGATAGTCTAGTTGACACGTAGCCTAGAAATCTAGACGCACCCTAGCGGTAGCGAAAATTATTTCGCAGCCAGTGTGGTCTAGCAACTCTCCATAGGCTTTTGAGCTGGAAAAACCAAAAACTGGTCAGGCCAATCACATCGTGTATAGAGTCGGCGGGCGGGCTTAACACAATGACGGCACAGTTCATGACGTTCCGCGTGATTTCCATAGGTGATTTCCCTGCTACTTGAAAACAATGAAGATGCAGCGGTCTTTCGAATCGGCTTTGGCCGCGACTCTGGAGGACTTGGAGTTAAGAGAACGCCACTTAAGTCATTCTTAAAAAAGGAAGATGTGTTCGGAGTTTTGCCGACCTGATACGGCAAAAGTTTAATATATCAATTAGCTCCGCTGGTGGAAAAACGCATGGGACTCACTCATCCACAACCGTTCGTTGCTCTGGTTGGTTGTAGCGTTATCCTATTGCGTGCAGAGGGATTTTGAAAGGTAACCGTTTATCCCGCCCCTCGGATTGAGGCATGTCAATGGAGAGTTCCCAGACCTAACATCTTGATGTAGGTCTGGCATGCCAGGCTAGTTGACACGTTCTCTGCTGACACTTCAGGGCTGCGTTGTGGTCGTGTCTAGGCGCAAGTCCTTCATCTGATCTGGATACGGCCTGGATTTCTTGAATCTTGAATAGATATATCGACCGATATATCGGTGGGCCGATATTATCGGCCGATTTTAGGCATTTTCCTAACTATCGGTATCGGCATTTATAATGGCCGATAAAGGAATATTTTAAAAAATGCGGGTGCGGTGATTCATGTAAGGGTGGCGCTGCCAATAAAGCACATAAAAGCTGCCACAAGAACTGGGAAAAGTAATGATTATGAATACAACAAATATAGCAAGGATACATTTTAATTGTTTATTAATAAACAAGTGTTTTCAGTCAGTGTCAGCCAAAGATGAAGTTGACGATGCTGACTCGCGATCTTCAGTGAACGCGTGCCAGAGAGAAATGCACATTTCATACGATTACATGAGTCTGTCTGTCTTTCATTTTGAATTGTTCTGTTTAAAAGTAGACATTTCAATATAGATATATTTAAATTCTCAGGTCTATACGCTGAGTTTCGGTTCATGAGACGAGCTCCAGTTCACCCGCAGGCGCCTCTGTGTCGAGATTATCTATCGTCTGCTAAATTTACTTCTTATAAATTAAATCCAGGCAAATGGTTGATGAAACATTGATTAAAATTAAGATACAATTAATACAAAACGAAATTCACTTTGAAACGAAAGGTTTTGTGCTTTCTGTTTGATGTCTATGTGAAAGTTTCAAAGCATATTTTAGTGCCGCTTTCAGAGCGCTCACGTCCGTAGTGCTGAACTGTCGCGTCTGTAACATTGTTTTTTCCTCATAAATGCGAACACGAAAAATAAAATAAAATGAATATTTTATGTAGCCTGTGGAGACTGAGAGCCAACCCTTCTTCATCCGGTGGGTAGTAGCCTACTTGTGATTTGCGCAGTGTAATTCACAGAATTGATTTCTCTGCTATAGCCTCTGTCACGTATGATGAGCTTGTGACTATTGCAAGCGCGCAGCTGAGAAGTCCTGATTATATTGTCTGCTATATTTAGGCCTACTTCTTATTTATTAAGGCAATTGGTTGATGAAACATTGATTAAAATGCGTGGCGCGAGCGATCTCCGACAGTAAACTGATTCTGCTTTGTCTCGGGTAAACAGCTGTTGCGACGCGAGCAATAACGGCCGCGTCCGGTGTAGACACCGTGTTAAAGCTCATTCTGCCTGATAACGCTACGTTACAACATCAAGCAATATTCCAAAAATGTATATAATTATATCACTTTATATAGGGCCATTTTGCATTAAGAGTAGCCTAGTTTCACGTTTAATACATTTTGCTTACTAATTATTTAAAATAGTATACAAGTACTATACATATGTAATTAAAAACGTTTTCATTATGATATTATTAATTTTACTTTAGTAAAAAGATCTGAGTTCTTCCTCCACTGGTAGAGATTAAAGGAATTAAGAGTAAAAATAGAAGATAATAAGGTTTTGTCAGTGACACTTT